TTTGAGGTAGGTACCTACTGTTAATGGCAGTTTTCCAATTAAAGCAAAGAGATGAACTAATTCGCCAAAGTCGTCCAGTGGGCAAATGGCTATTTGAGCCTAGAGTCCTCAATGTTAACCAGAACTTCACTGTTCATCCTGCCTTAGCCATCCATGCCTTCTTCATCCCTTCCTGTTCCAATTTCACTTATCCTTTAAGACCCAACAGAAGATCCTACCTTTCCCAGACTTCAGTCTTTGGACTGAGGTCCAGCACCCTCTTTAGCCATCTTCTTCTACTGCCTGAGCTATTTATGCAACAATCACGTGGTGTCATTTGTATTTCTTTCTAGTCTTGCTGTCTATCATGTTGTCTTGTATTGTGTCCTTGAAGAAAAAAAAAACTTATTGCTCTGGTTAGTTTTTTGTCAACTTGACACCCCTGGGATCATCTGAGAGAGGATGCAGCCATTGAGTAAATGCATCTCCATCAGATTGGCCTGTAGACAAGTCTATGAGTCACCTTCTTGTTTTGGGAGGCTCCAGCCAAAGGTGGATGGGAACACTCCTAGGAAAGTAGCTCTGAGCTGCATAAGAGAGTAAACTGAGGAAGCTGTGAAAGCAAGTCTGCAGGCAGTGTCATTCCATGGCCTCTGCTCCAGGTGCTGCATTCCTGCCCGGTCTTCCCTTCCTGATAGGCTATAAGCTATAATACGAAATTAACCCCTTCCTCCCCGGGTTGCTTTTGGTCATGGCGTTTTAGCACAGCAACTGAAAGTAAATGAAGACATTCTTATAGAAGCAAAAGGGCAACGTGGAAGGAGTATAGAGCACCAGGGATGCAGGTGAGTGACACAGCACTTAGCGTGCTCAGGGCCCTCAGTTTGATCCCCAACGTCAGAAAAAGCAAACATGTGGAGGGAACACTCATTCTTTTTTTTTATCATTTTTATTTTAATTTTAAATAGCTTGTTTTACATGTCAATCCCAGTTCCCTCTCCCTCCCCTCCTCCCGCACTCCCCTTCCCCCCCCCCACCCTATTGCCAAATCCTTCCCCATAGGGGATATCTAGAGTCTGTCATTTTACTCTTGGTAGGGTCCAGGCACTCCCCTAAGACTCCAGGCTGAGAGAGCATCTCTCTTTGTGCTATAGGCACACGAAGACAGTTTGTATACCAGGGATAGACACTGATCCACAGCTCAGGGCCCCATAGGTTGCCCAGGCCTTCTCACTGACACTCACATTTGGGGGGTCCAGATCAGTCCCATGCTGGCCTCCCCACTGTCGGTCTGGGGTCCAAGAGCTCTCCCCTGTTCAGTTCAGCTGTCTCTGCTGGTTTTGCCAGCCCATTCTTTGCCAATTTGCTCATCACTCCTCTCTCTCTGTCACTGGGTTCCTTGGGTTCAGTTCAATGATTAATTGTGTGTTTGCCTCTGCTTCCATCAGTCACAGGATGAAGGCTCCCGGATGGTTATAGACATCAAGTTCATTATCAGGGATGGGCATTCGAGGTGGTCCCTCCACTATTGCTTAGCTTGCCAATTGGTGTTATCCCTTTAGATCACTCGAGGTCACTCTGGTGCCTGATCTGTCTTCGAACCTATGATTCCCTCTTCCCCCTATTCTACCCCCACCCCCTCAACCCCCTGTTCCCCCATGACCAACTCTCTTCCTCTTCACCCCCTCTCTTCTTCCCAGGTCCCACTCCCCCCCGGCCCCCCCTTGTTCCCCATCCATTCAGAGGATCTTGTCTCCATCCTCTTCTCTTGGGTACTATGCATATATGCATATCTTTTAGGTTGTTTCCTGTTTCCCAGACTCTCTATCTGTGGAAGTGCAGACTGGCACTATCCTGATCCATGTCTAAAATCCATATATGAGTGAGTACATACCATGTTTGTCTTTTTGCGACTGGGTTACCTCACTCAGGATGGTTTCTTCCAGTGCTATCCATTTCCCTGCGAATTTCAAGATTCCATTGTTTCTTTCTGCTGAGTAATACTCCATTGTGTAAATGTACCACATTTTCTCTATCCACTCTTCAGTTGAGGGGCATCTAGGTTGCTTCCAGGTTCTGGCTATTACAAATAATGCTGCTATGAACATAGTGGAGCAGATGCCCTTGTATGAACCTGCCTCATTTGGATAAATGCCTAAGAGTGGAATTGCTGGGTCTAGTGGTAGATTAATTCCCATTTTCCTGAGGAATCTCCATACTGATTTCCAAAGAGGCTGTATGAGTCGGCACTCCCACCAGCAGTGGAGGAGTGTTCCTCTCTCTCCACATCCTCTCCAGCATAAATTGTCTTCGGTGTTTTTGATTTTAGCCATTCTGACAGGAGTAAGATGGTATCTCAGAGTTGTTTTGATTTGCATTTCCCTGATGGCTAAGGATGTTGAGCACTTTCTTAAGTGTCTCTTGGCCATTTTAGCCTCCTCTTCTGAGAATTCTCTACTTAGCTCTGTACCCCACCTTTCAAGTGGATCCTTTGGTGTTTTGGAGACTTGTTTCTTGAGTTCTTTGTAAATTTTGGAGATTAGCCCTCTGTCAGATGTAGGGTTAGTGAATATCTTTTCCCATTCTGTGGACTGCCTTTTTGTCTTTTTGACTGTGTCCTTTGCCTTACAGAAGCTTTTTTAGTTTCAGAAGGTCCCATTTGTTAATTGTCGATCTCAGTGCCTGTGCCACTGGTGTTATGTTTAGGAAGTGGTCTCCTGTACCAACTCGTTGAAGAGTATCTCCCACTTTCTCTTCTAAAAGTTTCAGTGTGGCTGGATTTATGTTGAGATCTTTGATCCTTTTGGACTTAAGTTTTGTACAAGGCGATAGACCTGGACCTATCTGCAGTCTTCTGCATACCAGTACCCAGTTATGCCAGCACCATTTGTTGAAGATGCTTTCTTTTTTCCATTGTACAGTTCTAGCTTCTTTGTCAAAAATCAAGTGCTCATAGGTGTGTGGGTTAAAATTAGGGCTTTCGATTCGGTTCCATTGGTCTACCTGCCTATTTTTGTGCCAATACCAAGCTGTTTTCAGGACTATAGCTCTATAATAGAGCTTGAAGTCAGGTATGGTGATGCCTCCTGAAGTTCCTTTATTGTATAGGGATGTTTTGGCTATCCTGGGCCTTTTGTTTTTCCATATAAAGTTGATTAATGTTCTTTCCAGGTCCTTGAAGAATTGTGATGGAATTTTGATAGGGATTGCATTGAATCTATAGACTGCTTTTGGCAAGATTGCCATTTTTATTATGTTGATCCTACCAATCCAAGAGCATGGGAGATCTTTCCATTTTCTGGTATCTTCTTTGATTTCTTTCTTTAAAGACACAAAGTTCTTGATATACAGGTCTTTCACTTCCTTGGTTAACATTATCCCCAGATATTTGATGCTGTTTTTGGCTATTGTAAAGGGTGATGTTTCTCTGATTTCTTTCTCAGTCACTTCATCATCTGTATATAATAGGGCCACTGATTTTTTTGAGTTGACCTTGTATCCTGCCACATTGCTGAAGGTGTTTATCAGCTCTAGGAGTAACCTTGCGGAGTTTTTTGGGTCACTTATGTAAACTATCATATCATCTGCAAATAGTGAAAGCTTGACTTCTTCTTTTCCTATTTGTATCCCCTTTATCTCCTTTTGTTGTCTTATTGCTGTAGCTAGAACTTCAAGTACAATATTGAAGAGATATGGAGAGAGTGGACAGCCTTGTCTTGTTCCTGATTTTAGAGGAATTGCTTTGAGTTTCTCCCCATTTAGTTTGATGTTAGCTGTTGGTTTACTGTATATTGCTTTTATTATATTCAGGTACGTTCCTGTTATCCCTGATCTCTCTAGGACCTTTATCATGAAGGGGTGCTGGATTTTGTCAAAGGCTTTTTCAGCATCTAGTGAGATGATCATGTGGTTTTTCTTTCGCAGATTGTTAATATGGTGGATTACATTGATAGATTTTTCTAATGTTGAACCATCCCTGCATTCCTGGAATGAAGCCTACTTGATCATGGTGGATGATTTTTCTGATGTGTTCTTGAATCCGGTTTGCCAGTATTTTATTGAGTATTTTTGCATCAATGTTCATGAGGGAAATTGGTCTATAGTTCTCTTTCTTAGTTGTGTCTTTGTGTGGCTTGGGTATCAAGGTAATTGTAGCCTCGTAAAAGAGTTTGGCAGTAAGCCTCCTGCTTCTATTGTGTGGAATACTTTGAGGAGTATTGGAATTAGCTCTTCTTTGAATTTTTGGTAGAATTCTGCACTGAAGCCATCTGGGCCTGGGCTTTTTTTGTTTGGGAGACTTTTGATGACTGCTTCTATTTCATTAGGGGTTATAGGTCTGTTTAGATTGTTTATCTGTTCTTGATTTAGTTTTGGCAAGTGATATCTATCCAGGAAATTGTCCATTTCCTTTAAATTTTCAAATTTTGTGGAGTACAGATTTTCAAAGTATGCCCTGATGATTCTCTTGATTTCCTCAGAGTCCGTTGTTATGTCCCTTTTTCATCCCTGATTTTGTTAATTAGCATGCTCTCTCTCTGTCTTTTGGTTAGTTTGGATAGAGGTTTGTCTATTTTGTTGATTTTCTCAAAGAACCAACTCTTTGTTTCATTGATTCTTCTCAGTGTTTTCCTGGTTTCTACTTGGTTGATTTCAGCCCTCAATTTGATTATTTCCTGGCGTCTGCTCCTCCTGGGGGAGTTTGCTTCTTTTTGTTCTAGAACATTCAGCTGTGTTATTAATTCTCTAGTATGACTGTTCTCCAGTTTTTTCATGTGGGCACTTAGTGCTATAAACTTTCCTCTCAGCACTGCTTTCAAAGTGTGAGGGAACACTTATTCTTATGGAATGAAATATTTTTTTCTTAATTCTGAAACTGCAAATAAAGTTTACCAAACACTTAAAATATTTAAGAATTTTATTTGCAGTGGTACACAGCTGTAATCTCAGCATTCACGAGACTAAGGCAGGATCACCCTGAGTTTAGGGTTAGCTTGCACTACATACTGATACTCAGACTCAAAAACAGCAAAAAAAATGTATTTAGCAAATTGTCCTGATTGGCTCTTTTGTCAGAACACTAACTAGGATCGAGAGGACTTGGCAAAGGGTGAAAGGTGTCTTTTAGCAAAGGCCAAAATCATTCACATGTCACCTTGCTGAATTTCTCCAAAGTAACAGTCTCTAATTTTTCAAATCCCTATTTACAAAAATGGAGCTTTGAAAGATGAAGTCATGTGCCCAGCTGCTATTGAGTAGAATCTTTCATAGAGTCCTGATAACTAGTCTTTGCCCTGAGTCACAACTCCAAACAGGTTACAAACATGCCCTCCAGTACTTCAGAAGTGTAGAGGACTCTGATATACAGATAAGGGCAAATCACAGTTGTCCCAGTTCCAGCAAAGCCTTCCTCAAACACCCTGCAACCAAGACAAACGCAATTAATATTCCTATGGAACAATGGAGATGTCTGTAATAGTGGGGAGGGAGTTGATAGCAGGCAGCTCTAAAGGACGCATACACCCCCAGGCTGGGTTCTCTAGAGGTCTTTTTGACAAAAGACCTCAGCACTGGGAGAAGGGCAGAGTGGAATGCCCTGCCATGGCCTTTTAATGCTCATGCCCGTCCCTTACCCCACTCCCCCATGTCACTGCAGGAAATCACTGTTTCTGAAAGAGTAATGTGTAAGAGGGGAGGAGCCACAGATGAGGCAGCTTATGTAGTAGATGAGAAGCCAGCAGAGTCTTGGAAATTTAAGTCCCTCTCACTTTGACCGTTTGTCCATCCTCCGATTTCCTTTCTCCAGTTGGTTATAGAGAGTTCTGTTTGTGTCAGGCAGTGCTGGGAAGAACTGCCTAAGACCCTAGGAATCCTGGGCAAGTATTCTAATGCTCCTCTATACCTCCAGCCCTCTCTGGCTTGACTAAAACTATGCACAAGAAATAGCTCAGTGCCCTTGCTGGAATCCCAAATCAGCGAGTACCTCTGTGGTTCTGAGGATATAGTCTACATCTCTCAAGGTTATTTCCCCCAGCACCTCCATCAGTGCCTGGCTCCTTGAAATCCGTAGACTGAAAGAATTTCGGAAGCCAGTGAATCCTTGTCGGAACTGTGAAATCACACCACCTTTAGTCTAAACTTACAGACTGGACTGTAGCGGGCTACTGAACTATTGGTTACACCATCTTATCAAAATATCCCTAAGAATACTGTAAGTGTGCCGGGCTTTGGTGGTGCACGCCTTTAATCCCAGCACACGGGAGGCAGAAGCAGGCGGATCTCTGTGAGTTCCAGACCAACCTGGTCTACAGAGCGAGTGCCAGGACAGGCTCCAAAACAATACAGAGAAACCTTGCCTCAAAAAAACAAAAAAACAAAAAACAATACTGTAAGTGGTAAACTATCGCTGGGCGAAACTGGTCTCTAGTCACTTAGAACAGCCACAAATTCCTACACGACGTGACCCTGGCTAAAGGTCAACTGCCTCATCATTTGACTGCAATCTCTCTACTTCTACTTCCCTAACCAACTCTTCACTGCAGATGTCAGAGATGCTCTTCTGCATATTTCACAATTGAGGGGTTTGCCCTTAAAAACTTGAACGGGAGGGTGGGGCTACTTCCCGCTAATCTGCTTGGCACAGTCCCACTGGCAATTAAAAAAAAAAAACACTCTACTTGACTTATTCTGACCTCTTAGGAGTTTTTCTCTTTAGGTACCCCATAACAGCTGCCTGTGAGCTACCTGTGGGCCACAGGTATGGGACAGAGCTGTTGAACTAGGGGACTTCACATGATGAAAGATCTCAGTCCTAGACAGAAGAATAAAGAAGAAAGTTAACTCTAAATACTGTCCCACTCTGGGTCTCAGGTGCCTCACAGCTACTCTGCCAGATGTATAAACTCTTCCTCTTACTGGGGGTCGTAGGACAACTAGGTTGCCAACTGAAGCACTGGAGAATATGTTCCCATTTTCCTTACGTCTTCCCTGCTTTGTGTTTCCCCAAAAATTACAGGCAAATTAAGTCATAAGGGTGGGACCCTAACCTGATAAGATTAGTGTCCTCCTGGGAAGGCATACCAGGCAGCTTGCTCACCCTAGGCCTCTTGTTCACTCTTTGTCATGTGAGGACACGGCGATGAGTGGTATGTGCCAATCTGTTTTGTCATATAAGGACAGGATGAGTGCTATGTAACAGTCGGCATGCCAGGAACAGAGCTGGTCAGCAGAAACTTAATCAGCTGGTACCTTGACCTCAGGCTTCCAACCTCAAGAAATCAGGAAAAAACAAACACCTGTTGTTGTTTAAGCCATCTGTCCTGCTGAAGACATCAGCTCCTCTTGACCTCTTCAGCCCTTCCCCACCTATAAATCTCTGAATGACTCAGTCACCCATAAAAGCAAAGAGATAACTTTAAATAAGTAAACAAATGAACTAAAGAAGCCGCCACCAAATCTGTGCTGTGTGGCTGTCACAGCCTGAGCAGCCTGCCTCCTATTAATGCTTGAAGATCTACGCTGGTCTGTGAGTGCAGCTCGGGTGGTAGAGCACTTAGCTAGCACGCCTGAGCACTGGGTTGGCCCCCCAGCAGCATGAATAAATAAGCAAGTTAATTATTTCTAAGATGGTATTCGGAGGCTCAGATAAACAGGCATACTCTATTTTAAAAGACAGGTGGTGCAAGCTCTCAAGTCCTAGCAACTTGTGAAATCAAGGAAGAGTGGTCTCCTGGGAGTTTGGCACCGACCAAGCGAGTTTCAGGCTATCCTGTATGATTGTGGTCCTGGCCAAACTGAGGTCCTGCCTCCTTAAAAATAAACAAAAACAAACTAACTAAAAGACAAGAGCTTTCCCAAGGTGAGGCCCATCCATTGCAATAGAGATGGGCTGGCCCCTAGATTTCCCCACTAGCACATAATTTCAATGATGTTCTCCTCTTTAGAAAAAAAAATTAAATAACGTAAGTAAATCCATGAGGGGAACAGCATCATATAGACTCTGTGTCTTCTGGCCTGGACAAAAAGGTTCCTTTGGAATTTGCCACAAAGGGAAGCATGCCACTGTTTCCATTGGCCCAACTTCCTTTTTTTTTTTTTTTTATACCCCCAGATTACTCCTCTTCTGTTTGGTTTGCTACTAGGGATCATTTTTGCTTTGTACATGAGCACCTATCTTGTCTATGCAAAATTTGGTTTCATCTTGGGTAAAAACACTTTCAGTTTAAGAGTGTTCTTTTTAGTTCTGGAGATGCCTGCTCAGAACCAACAAAAATGACCTTGTACCACAGCCCTCTAGACACATGTGACTTGTAGAAGTTCTATTCTCAGCAGATCTCCACAAGTTAAAAGATATCAGAAGGGTTCCTGTTATTTATTCTTTCTATAAAGCTTTTATTGTTGTTGTTGTTGGTGGTGGTGGTATGGTATGTGTGTGTGGGCGCACGCACACGTGTGTACACCCGACACATGCCATAGCATACATGTAGAGGTCAGAGGACAACTCTGTGCAGTTGGTTTGTTCTCTTTCTACCTTTATATGGGTTCCAAGCATTTCACTCAGGTCACCAGGCTTGGGTGGCAAGCATTTTCACCCACTGAGTCATCTTGCCAGACCCCCTCCCCCATTAAATATGTCTCATTTTTTATTGCTGTGATAAAATGCCAGTATCAGTAAAACTTACAGAAGATACCATCCTGGCAGGAGGACACGGCAGCAAGAAGCAGGCATGATGGAAAAGGCAGGAAGCTGAGAGCTCACATCCTCGGCAGCAGGCATGGAGCAGAGACAGCACACTGAAAGCAGACAGGGTGTTTTACTCCCAAAATCCCCAGTGATGCTGTTCCTGGGGCTCCTCCTCTAGCCAGGGTGCACCACCTAACCCCTCCAAAACAGCGCCCCTGGCTGGGAACCAGGACCTGCGGGGGACTTTCCTCTTAATGAGTTGCAGTTTTGCCAGTCTTGAAAGAAATAGACTCTATTAAGTCAAAAGAGCTTAAAAAACTCCAGGTGCAGCCAGGAGTTGGTGGCACACGCCTTTAATCCCAGCACTCGGGAGGCAGAGACAGGCAGATCTTTGTGAGTTCGAGGCCAGCCTGGTCTACCAATCGAGTTCCAGGACAGGCTCTAAGACAATACAAGGAAACCCTGTCTCAAAAAAAAAAAAAAAAAAAAAAAAACTCCAGGTGCCCCATGGGGCCCTGGCAATACGTGAGTGACCACTTGACCACTACTGAAATGATCGTTACTTTGAGATGGGAGGGTGTTCTGATATCCTGCAGCATTACCAGTTCAAAAGCCTCAGTGGGAAGTCTTAGAGATCTGGGCCGGTCTCTGTAAGCACACTACAAATCTGCAATCAGCCAAACAATTTGCTGACTAGACACATTTCTCCAGGTCTCCCAAAAGACAGAAAACAATAAAGGATCTGGGACTAGCAGAGCATAACCCTTGGCAAAGGTTAGTACCCAGTTATAAAGCATGAGGGGTGAAGTGAAACGGTGATCCCCTTTCAAATTAAGGAGTGTCCTAAGATATGTGCAGTGGGGACAGGATAAGCAGAGGGGCATGACACAGCAGGGTAAGGAGGCTCAGATGAATTGGCTGGAGAGACATCAAGGAGTGGAGGAACTGTGGAAATCCAGGGGCAGGAGCTACTAACTTTGGTTGACTGACAACTGTGCATTCTCAGTGCCATGCTCTGGGGCAGCCACGGAGTCAGCACAAGACACTTTCAGACTGATACACAAGCAACTGCCTGGGAGTGGAGGCCACAGAGAGACCACTGGTCACATAAAGGTACTTTTTAAACTGCTACATTATTCATTAACTGTATGGTCTCATCTTAACCTTCTACCTCATTAAAATGTTAGGCTGTTAGAAATGCCGACTTCTGCTACATTCTATAGAAGCATAAAACATGTGCATGAGCTTTCCTGGACTTGGAGATTTTAGCCCAAGCTCAGTAACTTTTTCTTTGAAACCCATTGAAAACTGCTGGTATTTCCTCTGCTAAAATATCCATTCATATAATACCTGAATAATTTAGAAATATTGTTTATATATAAACAAAGTATTCAAAAAATTTCCTTTTTAGCATTCATGAAGTCTGTGCTATGAGCCTAGTGTGGTGGCACAGGCCTTTAATCCCAGCATTCAAGAGGCAGAGGCAGGAAGATCTCTGTGAGTTCAAGGACAGCCTGGTCTACATAACGAGTTCTGGAACAAGCCAGGGCAACATAGAGAGACCCTGTCTCAAAAAAACACAAAACAAAACTACACTATGGCCTTCTGAGTCCGAGCAAGTTAAAGTTAGTAAGATGACAATGGCAATATGTACAAGAGGCAGAGATTTGCAAAAGTCCCTTTTGGGCAATCAGAGACCCTTATTTCCTGGGGGGCATGGGGTTGTGAGCTGTTGAAGTGGAAATAAGATGTCTTTAAGTAGCCAGCCCCACTGCAATGCAAAGGCGGGAAGTTCTGAGACCTCTTGGCGTGTGGTGCTAGTCACCAGGAATTACACAAGGGTCAGCTGTCTCCCATGAACTATTTTGTTTAAAGGAGCATTATTTCTGTAACCTTGATAACATGAACCAAAGAATAAAGAGCTGTGGAATTTTCAGGATTCATCCAGTCCAATACCATTCTTCTACAGATAAGGAACCTGAGACCCAGAGAAGGATACTATTTGATGAGCCTAGAAGACTACATGATGACCCCATAAAGAACGCTTCTCATCACTGGGTTGGCTAGACTGGAGGTTAGAACCTCCCGGCTCTTTCACAGGACGGGAGTTCAATTCCAAAGGCCTGGGTTTGACTCTCAGCATGGATGAAGGGTGTCTGTCTCACAATTACTTGTACTTCCAGTTCCAGGAGATCTGTCACCCTCTTCTGGCCTCTGCAGGGACTTGCATGCAGGTGGTAAATACCCAAATACACACATACACAAACTAAAAATGTTTCAATAAAAGAGATTTCTAGCAGGCATGGTAGCCCTTTGATCCCAGTACTTAGAAGGCAGTAACAGACAGATCTTTGTGTGTTTGAGGCCAGCCTGATCTACATAGCAAGTTCCAGACCAATCAGGGCTACACAGTGAAAATCTAATTCAAGAAAAAAAAAGCTACTATTTCTATCTACTGACACCTGAATATCCATCACAGAATTAGTTGGAAAGTTGTCTTTTTCCAGGTACGACCATGATCATCAGCCAGCATTTATTTAATTTATGTGGACCCTAAATTAAAAGACTGGAGTGTCCTTACAGGAAGGAGGCAGAGGGAGGCAGAAACATAGAGGAGGTGACATGTTTGAAGATGGAGTTGCAAATGCATCTGGGAAGCCAGAAGGGATGCATGGAGCCACCAGAAACTGAAGGAGGCATGGAAGGACTGTTCCCTGAAGGAGCCATTGGAGAAGCCCAATTCTGTCTGCCCTTTTTCCAACCGTAGGCTCCAAAACAGGAAGAGAACAAATGTCCTTTGTTTAACACCATTTGCACTGCTACGGCAGCCCTGGGAAATTAAGATGGTGTGCAAATGGCAGAAGCAGGTAGTAACCCAAGTCTCTGGACTTCCCCCTCGGTCCTGTCTCCTTGCCACCATGTCACATTCCGTGATTCTGACCTTGTCAAAGACATAAAGTCTCCCCTGTCTTCACATGAGCTCGAAGACTGAGGCAGTGAATACTGCAGATGCTTCTGTTTCCAGGCGTTGATATTTAGTTCATCCAACCACTAGGCTTTCTGCTCTGGGAAGTACCAGACTTGGCCATGGTATTAATTGTTAATAAGATGACTGGGATCCAGAAGACAGGATTCATAAAATAGAGCCAAGAGAATCCATTTGGTTCCAATAAGATATAAAGAAAATATGCAACCGTTTTCTGGTTGTTTATTTGTCAAACTGACACACGCTAGAGTCATCTGGAAAGAGGGAATGCCAACTGAGGAATTACTACCATCAAATTGGCCTGTAGGCAAGTCTGTGTGGCATTTTCTTAATGGTTTGTGTGGAAGGGCTCAGTCCAATGGTGGTGCCACCCTTGGCAGGTGGTGCAGACTGTATGAAAAAGCAAGCTGAATGAGCCAGGGGGAATGGGCCAGTAAGCAGTGGTCCTCCATGGTCTCTGCTTCAGTTCCTGCTTCCTGCTTCCTACTTTGAGTTCTTGTATTGACTTCCCTCTGTGATAGACTATGATCAGGATTTGTAAGATGAAATAAACCCTTTCCTCACCAAGCAGCTTCTGGTCATGGTGTTTATCATAGCAATCGAAGGCAAACTAGGACAAGACACTTAAGTTGGTTTCAGCCTTTCTCTCACATTATCCCCTTCATCTTGAGGTGTGTGATTGACGTTGATACAATGCGCATTCAGTTTGAGTCTTATGACTATGAATAAGAATTGGTGGCAGCTATTCTATATGTATTACCATACAGCAATTCACTTAGAGAATGTTATTGCAATGATTAGATGATAAATTGGGGACCAACTGAATGGCCTATTACATGTCAAGAAGCAGTTTTATCCAGAGTTTGTAAATTTAGTTTCACTTATCTTTTACTTAGCCCACAATTGCTTCCTTTTATGGAATCATGTCCCTCTAACATTCCAAAGTTAAACTCCTAAAACTCATGCTTCAGACTGTAACATATGTGAGGGGTCTAAAGAGGTTAAAATGGGGCCAATTAGGACTAATCCAATACGTTCCAATAGGCACCCTTACAGAAGAGAGAATGTTGTATCCAAAGAGGTAACACAGATATGCACACACACAGTGAAGACCGTATGAGAACACAACAGCAAGGCCACAATCTATCTACAAGCCATGGAAAGAAGTTTTTCATCGTGACTTGTAGCATTCAGAACTGTCTCCTGCTTGAGGCACTCACTCCACTACAGTTGGATATGACAGGCTTAGCAAACTGGTAAATTTCTGCTCTGCAATCTCAACACTTAAGAGCAGTGGTGGCCCAGCAACTGATGGAAACAGATGCAGAGACTCACAGTCAAACATTAGGCCCAGCTCAGGGAATCCTGTAGGAGTGAGGAAGGAAGGATTGTAGAAGCCATGATTTGTTTTCATTTTAATTTAAATTAGAAACACACTTGTTTTACATGTCAATCCCAGTTCCCTTTCCCTCCCCTCCTTTCCTACCCCCACCAACCCCTTATCCCATGCCCTTTCTGCTCCCCAGGGAGGGTGAAGCCTTCCATGGAAGGATCTTCAAAGTCTGTCATATAATTTGGAGCAGGGCCTAGGCCCTGCCCTCTGTGTCTAGGCTGAGAGAGTATCCCTCTGTGTGGAATTGGCTCCCATTTGTACACTAAGGATAAATACTGATCCTCTGCCAGAGGCCCCACTATTGACCAGGCCTCCTAACTGACATCCACATTCAAGGGGTCTGAGTCGGTCCTATGCTGGTTTCCCAACTATCAGTCTGGGATCCATGAATTCCCCCTTGTTCATGTCAGCTGTTTCTGTGGGTTTCTACAGCCTGGTCTTGACCCTTTTGCTCATCACTCCTCCTTCTCTGCAACTGGATTCTAGGAGTTCAGTTCAATTCAGTGTTTAGTTGTAGGTGTCTGCTTCTGTTTCCATCAGTTACTGGATGAAGGCTCTAGGATGGCATATAAGGTAGTCATCAATCTCATTACCAGGGAAGGGCATTTAAGGTAGCCTCTCCACTACAGCTTAGATTGTTAGTTGGGGTCATCCTTGTAGATCTCTGGAAATCATACTAGTGCCAGATCTCTCCTCAAACCTATAATGGCTCCCTCTATTATGGTATCTCT